ATGTTGTGCGACATCACGTGACATCATGAGTTTGACATGTCTGGGCTAGACTAAGGCTGGTACAGGGCTGGGCAATTTGTGGCTCAATATATGCATGAATTCAACTATTATGTTATGCCATTGTGAGATTTTTTATGGTTTTTTAGGACGTATTATGCAACGACTAGGTTCTCTGGAGGCTTTAGTGTTGGGAAGGGTGGAAAGAATGAGAAGACCATGACCAGCAGCAAAGTGAGTGGCTCAGTTACAGTGGCAATGAGGGCACTGTTGGAACATCTGAAAGCTCAGGTTAGAAACCTGAACTTGTCATGAAGATCAATTAAAATAATTTATAGCTGAGTAGATGGACCAGATAACCTTTTGAGATTGAGGAAACATTTGGAATTTGGTCGAAGGCACTCTTACTCTTGTTACCATTGTATCAGGGGAAAATCCAGATAGCCACTGATTATGTGTCATCAAATAGTTTTCGACTTCTTGGTCACTGATCAAATTGAAACACATTTATTATTATTATTCTTGGAAGTATTTCTGTGAACCCAATTTTTTTCTGGAAATACCATGATTCACATAATTATTCTTAAAGGAAATATTTTAATAATCAAAAAATAAAGAAAAACAGAAAACTAGAATGCTAGCTTTGTATTTTCTAAAATATTCTTGATTTTTACTTGAATGTTTCTGGTCTTACATATATTATGTTCGCATACTTAGAAAATAAAATAATGTGGGATAAGAAAGAGCCTGATACTTTCTTTGGAAGGGTGCCTACCTTTCCAGGAAAGGCAGAGAAAAGGTTAGTGGGTGGGAGAGGAATTTAACATTTAAACTTTGGAACATACATAAACATAGCATTAGAACCTTAGTGTGACAGAAGCTGTTATTAAGGTTTCAATAAGAAACTGTCTTAAGGTTGCTTGCATCTGTAGAACTTGAAGTCTTGAATTCAGATATGTGGGCAAAAGTCCAACATGGTGGGCACAGCTGGACCTGCCATTCTAGAAGTTTGCTTCCCTCTGCAGATTCCCAAGTTCAAGAGAAAAGATTATTGCAATAACCTGGAAATTATATCATGATAGGTAATAAAGTTCATCCTGGAGGACGAAGATGCTGTTGGAGAGCTACTGGACCATTTGCCTTCTAGTAAAGGGCAATTCTGTGTCTTGCTACATCAGATCTGTGTGAAAGACAGTTTGGTGTAGAGCTGAAGGCATCAGATTAGAAACCTGAAAACTGCCTTAGGCACAAAGCCAGCTGGGTGATCTAGAGCTAGTCACTTTCTCACAACCCTAGGAAGGAGACAGTAGGAAATCACTCTTGAAAAATCTTGCCAAGAAAACTGCAGGGACTTGTCCAGGCAATCCAGTGTCCTGACATGGTTGAATGGAAGGAAAAAATTACAAAAAATATCAGATCCAGCAGCTATTTTGGGAGAATAACAGTAACATCCCTTGAAAATTCATTATGTCCACTCACTTTACAGAAAACGGGGAGCCCTGCATTATGTATGCAGCCTTAAAGGTAATATAATCCTTGACATTTAACAGGCTGAAATTCATATCCTGATCTATACAGGCTTTGAGCATCCTGGATATGGATTATGAAAACTGAACCTGGCACATCTGAAAGACACCAGTTGGGAAAGTTATCTTAAAAGCTCATTTAGCCAAGAAGTATTGCTAGATCATAGAAGTAAATAAAATTTATGGATAGATTGCACCCTAGTGGATCTATTGTGTAAATGTTACCAGGAAAAAATAGTATTGGAAAACTAATTAGTAATATTCCTGTTCCATTCTTCACATATCTCTGTTAACATATTGATACAGTAATCTAGGTCATAATGGCCCAAGAAATATCCAGGAAGACGTTGAGAATGGCAAGGACTTCCAAGAAATAACATTTTATTATTTTGGTTTTAAAATCCCTTCAAGTCAAACTCAATTCCTGGGTGATTACACAAACAATCTATGTAGTTTTCTTGACAACAGAAACACAGACATGGTTTGCCATTGACTTCGCAGCCAAGCTTACAGCTCTAAAATTTCCTCATACTCTCCAAATCAAGTATTAATATGATTCAACCCACTATAACCTTTTTTGAGAGCAACTGTTGTCATAAACTGCTGCCATCTGTTGTGACTGATTCTGGTTTATAGTGTAATATGAAGTACAAAATTTGATTAGTCAAGTTCCTAATCAACTCAAGTAAGATATCTGCCTCAAAGCCACAAGGTACATAGCTCTACCCTTTTCCCTTGTTATCTTTCTAAGGTCTGCTGTCCAGCATTTTCTGTTCATTCCTGCCCTCATTCTAATTTCTTAACTGGGTCTCCACTCTGAACCAAACATTCTAGTGCAGGCATGTCAAACTCGCAACGTCACATGATGTCGTGACGTATTGTGACTTTTCCCCCATTGCTGGCAATGGGGTGGGTGCGGTTTCAGTGTGATGCATCTGGCCCGTGGGCCGGCAGTTTGACATGCCTGTTCTAGTGTATCAGAAGTAGGCAACCTTTCTGCACTTTTATAACAAGAAATGTAGGAAATGGGTCTGATGGAAAGACTGTGACATGATGGTATAATCAGTGAACAGGGTCAGAATTCTCACAGCATATTTTGTTTTATTGGTAAGGGGTTTCTTAGATTTGAGTTCCCCAGTTTGTTTAGCCTAGAAAGGGATTAAAATAACAGAAAAATACCTATTAAAGCACATTCTAAAAATGGCAGAAAAGCATGTTTCCCAGCTGCAAAAATTAACCTTGACTTACAGAGGCTGCATGCATTCCATTAAAAGATTGCTTATTTTTGATGAAGACTAAACTTCAAGTCACTCTTGAATCCTGGTGAATACCTGGATTGGTCCTTAAAGTTTTCTTTGCAATGTTTTTGGAAATGGTGTGCCCTTGGTTCAAGATCACCCAGCCGGTTTCATGCTTAAGATGGGATTAAAACTCATGGTTTCCATTCTGGTACCACAACTTACACTCCAAACTAGTTTTATTACTTGCAAAAAACCAGAGTACACCTTGAATGATTGACAATCTTCATTGACAAAGCTATAGTTGGTAACATCCTTCCTCAATTGGCCATGAATCTGTAGTTATCTGTGATTAAAAAAGTAATTATCAACGGCAGACTCCCTGATACAATGATCTTGAAAGCAATAATGAATTAGGCTGTTGTATCTGAATCACTCCCTTATTTTAAAAAATGCATTTTATGACATTTACACTACTATCCCAGTTTTGGAAAAGACACTACAATCCATGGCATTTTTAGAAAAATAGGTAGCAGATGTAAATATTTAAGGCATGAGGGCTCAAGCCTGGGTGCAAGTAGGGATGGACTTCAGTCTTCCCTTTTCATCCTTCTCAGGTGTGTTGACATTGTTAGAGGAAGCAAACAAGGTTTTGTGTTTATGACCCTATATGCAACTTCCCAGCCAGCATTGTCCTTTATGCTTAAAAGATTATCCACTCATTGTAATACATTGCATCTCTTTTTCTTCCTCTAACCTAAAAGGAACCACAGGAAAAAGACAGCACAAGGCTTGGGTTTAATCATTGTTGTCAAGAATGGGAAGGGAAAATATTAACTATTACAAAAAAAGCGACTTATAGGAAAATAACTAAACCTATAGCTTGCCCCTTCATAAGACTTTTAAATCAGTCCAAATTCTGTATTATTATCATAATATCAAGGAGAGGTACCTTTTATTTTAAAGCATGTTTGATATACTGTTGCCCACCCTCCAACTATTGAGAATTGAAGCAAGTCCATGTGCATGTATACATTTTGAAAATCCTATATTATTCTTGATATGACTATTGACTTTACTGTCTATATAACTGATTTCCACCTTGATTATGTCTTGCTGAGCAGAATCATTAATTGCAGCAATTGTGCAGTGCCTTCCACATTAATGGCTTTTCAATGGAGAAGAAAAAGTTGAGCCCAAGTAGAAATTCTACTAATAAAAAAGCAAAACCCAACTATAACTCTATGGATGGTATTATGAAAAAGGAAGTTCAAATAACATAGCTTCAATGCAAGATCTTTTTTTATACTTTTTTTAAAAAAAATAAATAAATAAAGGCAGAGTGTAACTTCCAACACAAGATGGCACTAGTTATTTTCTACATTCTTGGAAGGGAAGGTGATAGATAAGAACTCAAACAAAATACAGTGCATTTGATGGAGCTTTTTGATACAACTATCTCTCTGCTTCTATTTCCGGAGATGCAAAACAGATTACAGAACTATTTTCTGGGCTATCATGAATCAGAGTCCTAAAAAAGTACACTGAGCTGATAGGTGCCATTGAGATTATCTTTTCTGACTTGAGCACAAGATGTAGAAAGTAGTGGGTGGAATTTTAATAGGCTTTTGATGTTGTAAAGTACATTTTGCAGCATTCCAGACTAGGGTGAGGGCTTTGCATAAAACAACTCTATTGCCATGCCAACAAAGGGGGGGAAAACAAATAAACCAGGTGAATTACAGAATCATGATGCACAAAAATGGCTAAATGTTCCTCATTTATATTAAATATACCTTATTATCTGGTATATCTATGTAATATCTATAGTATGTTTAGGTGTGTGTCATGTATGTGTTTCACTTTGAGAGTGGATAACTAAATTTCATTTTTGATGTGTGCTGTTGTGCCCACAGTAAAGAAATGACAATAAAGGTTATCTTATCTTAATGAAGTTGAATGCCATGTTTGGTTTCATTTGTTGCTCTCCTCGACACATCCATATTGAAGATAAATTGTACTAACTAAAGACACACCTACAAAACACATCCCTAATAATGAATATGTATTTCCCATCCAAGAAAAATAACCAGCATAGAAGGAAACTACTTATATTGTAGGAGAAAAGCTTATTTTAATCAGAAAATGGAGAAAGTGAATGATTGTGATCTCAATCCAATAGTGTTAAGATAAGTATCATAGTAACAGTTAAAATGTTATGCTCTGTAACAAAGACCAATATGCATCTAGGCTATTCAGCCCTAGGATAGCTGACCATTGATAAAGCCTTTAAAATATTTTTTTAAATGATGATCATGCTCTGTATCACTGAGTATCATTAGCACCACTAATTCTGTAGCTCTATTTTGCTTTTAAAATCATTGACTTTATAATGCCAAGTAATGGATGCATTTATGTATTTTCCTGAATTACTAATTTTAGGCATTTTAGGCTACTGGCAGTGAAATATTTACTATCAATGAACATAGTCTACTTGACTTTTACACTATATAGCACATAACACTCCACATAAAAATAAAACCCTTTATTGATAGTACGAACATTTAACATGTTTAATGCTGCCATCTATAAAAATGATAAAAAGACTTCTGTTTCATACATTTGACTTTACAAATATACAGATGTTAATGAACAATTAATACTAGGTTATACAGTTTGAACTTCATTATAATCTAGTCCATGACACTTCTCAATACACAATCAAAAGAATATTAAACATTTTAATTCCATGTTTTAATCATACAGAAAACTGAAATACTAACCCTAAAATCTTAGGGGATTAGCTGGAATCATTTTCATAGTTGTGCTTAATCTCAGGATATTGACTACTAGCAACAAAATACATTTCCTTCTACATTGTCCCCAATATTTTTGTAGATTATAGTACTCAGTGCATCTCCTAATGAAATTCATTACTGTGTATAAAACTCTATAGTGTCATGTTATAAAGAAAGGATACAAGTTAGTAAACATATAGAAATATTTTAAGGGCTGCTACAATAACCTCTTTTAAGGTAAGACACAATACCATCAAAATGTTTACTTGAATTCAGTTATATAGCCTTTCCAATAATGGTTACACTATAAAACTAAATTGTTTATGTGCTTATCAGGATTGTTTCTATGCATCTATAGCCAAACACTTAGGAAAAATTTAATATAGACCATAATATGTGAAGAATAGCATTAGGTTTGTATGATTTCCTGTATCAATATACTGTGAAATATAATGCAACCTCAGAAATATTTGACACTTTGTTAAAATACAATAATCTAGTAACTCCATACCAAAAGAAAAAAGAAAAAAAGGGAGGGGAGAACAATGTCTAGACCAGGGGTAGCTGGCTCAGGAATTCTGGGAGTTGAAGTCCATGAGTCATAAAAGAGCCGAGGTTGCCTACCCCTGGTCTAGACCATATATTGTGGCATCCTGAAGTAATGGGTTTTTTGTTTTTTTTAAATTGTAATGAAGAACTTTGGTCTAATGCAGGAATGGGCAATTTTGACATGGCAACTGGATATGTGGCACTTATAATTGCTGAAATGAGACAAGATTTTTTTTGGCTTATTTTTGTTTTTAAAAGGCAAAATGTATGTGACAATAACAGGCAAAGAAGTATGCACAATTCCAGCCCTTATTTACTTTAAAAGCACTGAAAAAAATGGGCATCATCTAAACCCAGATATTTGCTCCTAAATTTCACAACAATGCCACCCACAATTCAAGGGTTTCCCAAACCTGATCACTGAATGTCAAAGCAGCAATAGTTTCAAAAAATCATGTTGTGATTCTTATTATTAGTGCACACTGAGTTTGGTGAGGCATTCACATATTTTCCCTTAAGGTCAAATTAAAGACACCCAGTTTATCATTAACCTTGATCTTGATTATACCAGTAATATGAGATATTCCAGAAACAATTTCAAACATGAACAGCTATATAAGTATATTGGCCCCACTGACATGATCAAGGCATAAACCTTTGCCCTAAAGTTTGCATTATTGGAAAAATTATTACAAAGAAAACTGCTTATTCAGCCTTGTATGGGTCCCAGCTTATTATTTTTCTTAAGAAAATGGATTTTCACAAATACATAAAGACTTAAAAGTAATTGTACAAGTGATCTGAGGTATAAATAATGTCAATGTGATCACTGTTAAGATTAAAAATGTTCTGTCTAGGTATGTATACATCTCTCTATATAAACTGCATCTTTGAAAACTTAAGAATTTGGTTTCCATATTGCTGCCAAATGGGCAGTTCTCTTCTCTAAGACAATAAAACTTATCTAGAGAGACCTATGCCTGCTTGAGTTACAGCATTATTACATATTAAGCAATTCTATACTTATTGCTTTGGATCTTGTAGTACTGATCCTATCTTTTATATATATATCAACATCTGAAAATCCTGATTAGTCATTTCTGATTTCAAGTAGTATTTAATTTTTTTCCTCAAGAAACAGCAAAGGCCTTACTGTCAGAAGTTCTACACACAACAGTAGAATGCTTATTAAAATTGCTTATTAAAATTTTACTTATTTTGCTCTATGGAGAGAAACTTGTAAGGAATGGACTATATTTTATAAAGACTGGTAACTTGGTTGCTTAAAGCTAACAACTCTTCAAAGTTTGTATCAAAGGAAAAACATAGGTTGCTTAAAATTTAGCAACAGGGCCGAAGTGTACCTGATAACAGTTACGTTAATTTTTTTGTTCGTAACAGAGAAAACCAGTCTAATGTTCACCTTTGGACATTTCCTATTCATAGCACATTACTAATAAATATATTGGAAAGGATTAAGAACCATATTGATTTCAAACATTCATGATTCAGAAACTGTTATTTTCTACAGTTGGATAATGCCTACTGGATTATAGAGAATCACATTCATATCTGCAGGCTTTAGCTCAGGCACTTCTTAGAAAAGGAACAGAAATTTGCATGGAGTGTTTTTCTGCATAATTTAAAAATGAGTATTCTGTTGTCGTAGTCCATAGGTCAGCTCTCAGAACAGAACAACTGCTTCTCTTTTTGTTTGATTTCCCTGCTGCCATGAAATGCCTTGAGGCTCTGAATGTTCAAAAAATTGTATAAGTTGTATTATTTTCTACACTGTATAAAACAAAGAAACAAATGTGTTATACAAGAAGATTCTGTTAGTACTTAAATAAATAACATGGAGTGAATAAGACTGAGTTTCTGCTCTACGAATTGCAAATACTTGGAATGTTACTCTTTTTAAGACTAGCTATTGGTTGGCAATAAAATCTCAATATCTTTCCCATTGGCTACAACAGTGTTGCTTGAACAACTAGTTGCCATGTCCATAGGAGAACCCAGGGATGCCTGATTTGAAGTTTTCACTGGTGGCGTGATAGTTGCTGGAGAAGGAGCCAGACCAGGTTTCTTTGGAGGAATTGGTGGAGGATTTCCTCTTTCTGCTCTGGGTATAGTGGGTGATTTAATTCCAGGTGAAAGGGGACTTAAAGGGCTAGAGACCTTACCTGGGCTAGTTTCACTTTTGGGGCTCATAGCATTGGCGAGATTTCGGTAGTCTGTGCCAAAAGGTGAACTGTTAGGGGACACTGGTTTGATAGGCCCCTGCTGACTGGTGAATCTGGAGAGAACCTGAGTGACTGTATTGCGGGCAAGCTGTTTTGCTGCAGAATTATCGGCAAAAGTTGGTGACAAATCTCTGGATGGAGGACTTTGGAGACCACTTGATTGATGTTCTTGATCAGCCTGAGATTGGAATTTGTGACGAGCAGCATGGAAGCGCTGATTGATTCCCACTTGGTAGGAAGATTGGTAGCTAGGGTTGCTGGTTGATGCTCCAAGTAGACGCTTAGTCATGACTGGGGAGGAACATGGTGAAGATGTCAGAGAAGAAGAAGCAGTATTGCTGGGAGATAAGGAAATTCCATTGGAAGGGAGTGGTGGAAGTGAAGCGGAAAGAGACTCTGTTCTTACTGGGGAGGTGCTACTTTCTGCAGTATTCTCAGCAGCTGGCCCAACAGACTTATCCTTGTGTAGATTCTCTACTGCAGGTTGAGTTGCCTCAACACCTGTTAGTGTATCAGCATCACAATGTCCATTTGCCTTGGCATAGGGATGGAGAGCTGTGGCCAGTGGTAACATGTGTGCCAATTTGACTGAAGACTCCTGGTTCATGTTTTTTGTCAAATGATTACTAGTCTGAGAAGCCACTGACCTACCTAAGGAGATTTCTGTAATAGTTGCTGTGGACACCATTGAGACATGTGGGTATGTGCTCTCAGCTTTGTTGCTGCCAGTTTTCAAAGAAGCTTCTAGTTGTTTTAATTTTTTTTCTAGATCCTCTATTTCTTCTTTTAGGACTTTGGTACGGTTTTCTTCCCGGTTAAGTTTGGCTTTCAACTGCTCTCGTTCAATGTCAAACTCAGATAACTGTTTTTCAACTTGTGCTTCCATTTGCAAGCCTCTTTTCTTCTTGGCTGCTAGCTCCTCCTCCAGCTGGTTTACTTTGCTTCTTTCCTTTTCCAACTTTGTATTTAAGTCTCCAAGCTTTTGCCCTTCCTCTGTAGCTTTAGTTGTGGCTTTCTTACATTCCAACACAAGCATAGAAGAAAGTTGCTTGTGGTGTGCACGCTCTTCCTCCAGCTGGCTAGCCAACTTTTTTTGTTCTCTCTCAAACTTCTTCACCTGAGATTTTTCAAATTCCAACTAAAACAAAAGTATATTTTTTTAAAATGTTAAAGCTTTAACATCCAATCAAACTAAAATAAATAAATAAGAATAAATAAATCAATGAGACAATGGATATAAAGATTTTTCAGAGAAAAAAATTGAAGTTTTTAATAGCTTGTATTTGAATCCAAATAAGTAAAAGGTTATAGAGTAAATAGAACAATAAATTATAAAGTAAATACAACATGGAATGACATATATAATCCCAGCTGCTTATAATATCTACACAAGAGAGATATTTTCTTACTGTTTAACATGTACACTGCAGGTCACAAAGTATATTTGCTAGATTTTGAAACACTGTTACGTTTTGGTTTTGGTCTCAAGGATCTGATGTTTCTTTCGTTAACCCAGCTCACTTATATCTTAAAAGACTGAATTCTATTCCTACTAAACAAAATGTGTAGCTCTGAACAATATCCCTCTCTTAGAAGTCTAATTTTCTGCTTGAGGGAGAAAGTAAAAACTCAGAATTTAAGAGACCAACATAAGCTCCCCCACCCAAAGAAGGCATGTTCTCTTGTGTTAAACATTAATTAATCATTTCCCTCTGACTGCTACTTAGGAAGAAGACATACCTGTTGTGTCAGCCGTTCTCGTTCTTTTTCCAGCATATAAGTGACATCATCGCCTTCAGCAGTATCTTGGGCGTGTCGCTGCCTTTCTTCTTCAAGATCCAAGATTACCTTTCAAACCAAAAGGAACATTATCAATCCCATTTAGAGAAATAATTACTACTGTATCCAAATGTAAAGAAAGATACCTATCTGCCCAAAGCCAAATTTAAAGCAAACGTGTCAGACACAAATACTCCTTAACTTTTGCTAATGAAGAGATCTTTTTGAAAGGATCCAGGGCAATGGTAAAACAGACATCTATCACCCCCAGCACCCCTTTTAATATTCTTCAAACTTATCCTCATTATTAAATTATACAGCTAATCTTTGTTTTTTTATAATATATTTTATTAATTTTTTAACATGGTCGCTTTAATATTCAGTAAAGAGTGTGTTGTCTGGGTCTACATTTAAAAAACATTCGCTAACAATTGGTTTCTATGATCTATAATCCACATAATAGCTGTACTTGATTTCCTCTTCTTCCCATAATGTTCTCTTTTACCAACCTTAAGTTAATACAATTCTTATTGTTTTGATAGATAACAATTGAATATATCATTTTTTCTAATATTTCTGCAAATAATAATCACATCAATATAATATTTCTTTTCTATCTAGTCATTCTAGTCATAAATCCCGTTTACAGTTCATATTTACATTTGTTTTTCCCACAATATTCAAGACATTCTTACTGGTTAAGATTTTCTCAAAGTTAATTACATTTAGATATTTGATTCTATTTTTTCTCATGTAAACCATCCCATAACTTTTACCTTACTTAAGGAATAAGTAAGACTAAAAAAAGAGAAAAAAAGAATAAGAGTAAAGAGGGATAAAAAGATAGTATACTACTTAAAGTCCAGGTTTCCCCTAAGCTAACACATATTTATTTCTAAAATGTTTCCATTCTTTTTTACCATAATTAAGAATATATTTAATCTTTAAATATTCCATTTAATAAATCTAGTCATCTGGTCTTTTAACTCTTATTCAAAACATTTTTTTCAATCTATTGTAATTTGCTAAAAATCAATCACATTTAAATATCTAAAATATGTCCTTATATATAAGCCATTCTAACTCTTTTATATTACTCAAATCAAGAAATAAGATAAGAAAAGAGAAGAAAGAGAGAGTACTATGTTGTTTGAGGTACTCCTCCCTCTTAAAGTAAAATTCATATTCAAAATCTTTCTATTACTTTAACCATATTCAAACAGGTGTTTCTTTTTTAAATATTCTCTCTGATAAGTCCCATCATCTATTTTCTTAATTTTCACTTTGGCCTTCTTCCTTTGCCCAATATCTTTAATATTCTGCTGAATCAAAGAGTCTTTCCATATTCTTGTAGGTGTCACTGTAGATATAAAAAATAAGTCAAGTACAATATCTTTGTAAGAGGCATTTGCTCTTTCATGTTTGTTGAAAAATTTTTTCTTTCTTTTTCTCTCTGTATCTCTTATCATTTTTTGTCTCTCAAGTTCTAGTGGTGTTTTCGACATCTCTGCAATCCATTTTGACCAGTCTTTTTTCTTATCCTCAAATTAGTCTTGTGGTCTTAAAGTATAAGTTGCCTTTTCCAAAACCAATATTTCTTGTAAATTTTTTTTCCACTTGGGTTAAATCATACTTCTTGTGTTAAGTTCCATCTTTGAGTCTCTATCCTCAAATTTGTGTTCAGTTATCTGTTTTACCTGCTCCTTCTCTATTGTTATTTCCTGGGATTTTTTGTTGTTGTAAAGTTAAATTGGAGATGAATTAGTTTATGTTTTCAAAATTATTTTGGATTTCTTTATGGTTTGAAGTCATTGTTGTTTGAATTAGTTGCAGCATCTCATATGTCTCCTCTTGAAAGGTATTTATTTTTTCTTGATATTTCCGCAAGTCTCTGATTTTCCATAGTGGTCAAGAATCGAGGTTTTCTTTTCTCTGCAAATAGCTTTAGAGTCACAGTTACTAGATATTTATAAACCAAAAAGGTTCAAAAAGGTTTCCTGAAGTTTATAATCCTCTTTTTGTCTGCAACCCAAATTATTTTCTTTTTTTTGTCACAGCTGTTCTCTATTGTTATAGCTTTAAAGGTCACAAGCACAGATTATTTTTTTCCAGATTTTGCCAAGTCCTGTATAAAAGCCATAGCTGTCATAGTCTTTATCCACCTCTAGATGTCAGCACCAGTTTATTTTTAAAATTATCAAAATAGAAAATTGCCTTTAAAATGAGAATCTTAACCATTCAAAAATTCCAAACTTATCCAAATTAATTTCATTTCATTTCTGTATGTTTTGGTCCTCCATAAAAGGTTTAATTTGCCGCTTCCATTAGTAAAAGGGTAGGGCAAAAATCCCCCTCCTTCACGTTCGGAGGTTTTTTTGCTTCTTGGAAATTTTTTTTTCCAAGAAAGTTAATAAGTAGGATAGAGAAAATCGATGATCTTACCCAGATTCAAATGCACTGTTTACAATCAGCTTAAAATAGTGCTTTTTGACTTTGGTTGCTTGTAGCTTGGGCTAGACTCTGAAGTTAGGCTAGCCTTTCTCCTGTTGGTTTCTGGAAGGCTTCTCCTGGACCGATCAGGTCGACTGCCGTCTCTCTGTGGTCTGCGGGACTTCCTTCCTTCTTTGCGGCTTCTGGCCCATTTAGGGTTTTTTCCTAACAGGAAAAAATTCAGCCAAAGGGCATGGAGCCCCGAAATCCCTTGGCTGCTGCGCTACTGCGCAAGATCGGAAGACCTATACAACTAATCTTTACTTGCAACCGTAATTGAGCCCAGAATTACACTTGCCAATTATTCTGGTCATTGTGAGTGGGTTTATTTTATGACATTTTTGCATCAGTTATTAAGTGAACACCACAGTCATTAAATGAATCCATTTCACCCAATGGACAGTCTTTGCTGGAAATTAGAAGTGAATGTTGGAAACTGGCAAAAAACATTGAAAACCATGCAACACTGGAGAATGCTGCAAATGTCTGTAAGGGTGAGCTGGTTACCAAGCGCCCAGAATGTGACCATGAGTCTATTTTTGCGTATGTGTGTATGGCTGTCGTAACTTCAAAATAGGGTGTATCACAAGTTTTACTGGTCAATAAAGGGACCAGTAATAAGTCAAAGACTATCTGTATAATTTGCTGTATAATTAAAAAAAAAACCTTAAAAACCTTATCTTTTTCTTATATGATTTTTGAGATCTACAGTGTCTTAAAAATTTTGGGATAAATTGTGAAGGATATAACTGTAGGCAATTTTGAATATTTATTGTGTAAATGGTATTTGATATTAGATGTTTCTTTATAGAAATGTATTTAAAGTTTCAAAAAACAATAGAAAATAAGTTAGCCAGAGTTGCATAACAAATAGGAATCTGTGTCATGTTAGAGCACTTTTTTTTCTTTCCTTCAATTGTGTCTGATTCTAGGTGACTGCCTGGGCAAGTCCCTGTAGTTTCCTTGGCATGCCCCCCCTCCCCAAAGTGCTTTGCCACTGCCACCTTCTTAGGGCTGAGAGAAAATGACTGCCCTAAGGTCATCCAGCTGGTTTTGTGCCCAAAGTGAGACTAGAACTCACAGTCTCCTGGTTTCTAGCCTGATGCCTTTAACCACTATATTAAACTGGCTCTGTGATGTAATTTGAAAGCAAAATAACAATTCAGCAACTATTTGCGTGACGACCTATCTAAAGAGCTCTTTTACACTCTATACTGTATTAAAGAAAATCTAATTCTATTTCTTTAAGTGTTAATTTCTTTTAATTAGACTATAATAAAGAGGACTGTATTTTGCTTTAAACTTAAATTTTACCTAATGGAGTGAAACAGTATCCTATAATTATATAACAGCATAGTGAAACTTAAATTTAAATACTATTTTTAGAAAAATACAAATATAAAACAATGCAATAAATTGTACCACAATAACTAAGTTTCAATAATAGTAGCATAAAAGAAAGGTATGACTTTGACATAGAAATAACTTTGAGCTTATGAACAAAATATACCAAAGATTCATAAATATAAATACTGGGCAACTGAATAGATGCAAAATATACAGGTGGCTGTAATTCCTTTATACAAATTTAAAATTACAGATTTTAAATTTACTGTTTGGTACATTGCAGTTTTAATGTTTTTGTTTTGTTTTAAAAAATGCTTAAAATTTGAGGTTATTTACAAAAACGATCAGAGTATTTATTTAACTATTTAATTTTTTAACCGTCCATCTCCCTCATTAATTAGCCAAAGCAATTCTTTCAATCTGAAACATTATATAATATGGCATATTTAATAATTAAAATTAAAAATAGGTAACTATATAATACTGTGGTGTTCTGTGTTCTATGAATTCCTAAATAAGAACAATTATTACTTTCATCAATCTTTCAAGGTGATAGAAACCCACCTTTCTGTGTCTACTCTCTGCAGCAGCCAGTTGAGACAACATTTTTTCCTGCATATTCTTGCAATGTTTCATTACTACCTTCAGGATGGATAAAGGATTGGCACAAACAGGTTGCTTTTCACCATAATTTTCTTCCTTCAGTGCTTCAAAATCTCTCTGAAGAGCCATCAATGGATCACTAATGTTGTATTTTCCATAACGTTCTTCAATAAAGGTATCTCTATGTTGGGCCTGAAATTATGAAGTATTTATTAGCAGCTAATAAAGAAATAGAAGTTAAAATCTTGTCATTTCACTGAAATAGAACATATGAAAGACTAAACAGATAAGCAAATGCCAATGCACCTGCTGCCTAAATACATGAGTATCAGAAAAGATATTTTTTTACAGGCCTATGGAATATTTGAGAAATTGGGAACAGCCTTAACTTAACAAAAGCTTTAAAAAACATTAATGTTTGTATAGAAAGTGACTGAACAGTGCAAAAGGGACTAAGAAGTAAAGATGAAAAAAATTACTAAACAGAGAAATACTAAGAAAAAAGCAGAACCTAAACATGTAATGGAAGGCACTGAAGAAAGGTGCAGAAAAAAGGAAAGAATAGAAATATGGGCAAGTGTAGGGAAAGAAAGCAAAACCTAGTTCTACAATCATGTTATGATCTTATATGCATTTCTACTATGTCAACTAAATAAAATAATGCATGTGTTTCTAGTTTTCTGAACGGAACTACAAACTATCAGATATAACCAGATAGGAAAAGGGATCTGAAGCCAGGATTTAACACCATATATTTTACTTGCTGCGAAATTCCTGGAACTGATGATATATTTCCAGCAAACTACAATATATTTAGGGACATATGGCAACTGAACAAATCGTATATAGTAGAATTAATATCTTACTTCCAATTCCAAAGCATACTCATAATCTGAAAAATATTTTTTCTTTCACTATGATCTCCAGAATCATCACGGCAGCTTTCACTTGATGTCCTGACTTTTCCCAACAGGAAACCATATGCAGGAAAGGGAAGTTCAAGTTCAAAATACAGAGCTCTGTGATATTTTAAACAAGCAACTCCAAGATCAAGATAGAAGAAACTAACAGAAAAACTAATGGAGCATCTCTACCTTCCTAATCCAGAGGCCTGTTTATGGGAATTGAGGAACATATTGTTTAATCTGCTATCTTTCAATCTGCTTCCATTTTCCATTGTCTCCCAGATTGCTTTCTTCTTCTTGTGCCATATCGGATGTTGGCGATCATGTTGGCGATCCTGATTTTATCAGCAGCCGCATGAAAAAGTGCTGCTGAGTTTTGTCCAAACCAATCCCTTAGATCTTGAAGATTGCTTTACAGATTGCTTTACAGATATCTAATATACAAATACAAGGGTACGTACCTGTGCATTATGAGAACATATACACACGTACACACATTTGTTCAAATAAAAATACAATATAGTAAGACGGATATCAAATGACCCTAGAATTTGCTTTAATATACAAATCTGGACAAGTATTTTCATGACTGTAGTACTGAAGAACACTTCTAGGAAGTAGATCAGTTCACTCAGGAAATGAATCAGTTATTCTGAGTATAAAATTAAAGCAAATCATCTTTTTGACACAGTAATTTACTAGCTTTTTGAACCTGAAAGTACAGGCTTAGGTTTGTTGCTTCTATTCTAGATGGTATTTTTAAGAGAAAAAAAATTATATGTATCTGACAAGCAAAGCATCGGGCAATTTGATGAATAGTACAGGAATTCCTTTGCAGAGTCTCTTCTGCACCCTGTTATTCACAAATACTTGTGAATTACTCATGACTTATTACTTGGGGCTTATTCACTCTTAGGAATATCAGGAAGTAGTTAAGTTAACTGGATGGATGATATACTGTAAGTAAGGAAAAACAGGAAGAAGGAAGAACCTTTGCACAGGAATGGACATACATTTCTAGTTAACTGAAATAATATATGAATAACAACAGAACTATCTAAATCCTGACCAATATATGAGGATGAAAATGAATGAACTTTGGAAGAATACAAACAGCTTCTGAGATAAAGGATTTTACCTCATTTTTTTTTTAAAAAAATGGTATTTTCTAAAAAAAAAAAAAGAGTTAATAATAGTTTAGCAAACCGAAGTAAGTTTTAAAGGAATACAGGGACTGCTAGAGGAGAAGATAATCCTGTGGTTGCAAAATTTACCACTGTGAATTAAATTACTTCCCATAAGTTATCAAATACTTTTGAATATTTAAAGTGTGCATGTATATGTGTGCGTTAAACCATAAAGAATTGGTATAAACCCCCCCCCCAAACCCTCTGGTTATTTGGTTATTGTACGAAATAATATACCCCAGTCCAGTAAATGCTACAACACTGGTGATGATTTTGGCATCTTGAGTGTTTGCTATTCATACACTTGAGAAGACTGCTCTAACACCTCTTTGTCCCAGAACCTTCTGATTATAACATATTAATACAATGCAATAACTCTACCTTAAATGGTGTGAGAACATAAATATATGGCTAACATGAAAGTATGGTAAACTGAATCTTGCTAGTGATATCCATTAACAGCTCAGTGAAATTATAGAAATCACAGTTAAAATGAAAATGTCTGGACTTCAAGACATATCTGACAGCATAAAATCCCCCTCCTTCCCTTCATTCCAAATTCAACGTAGGTATCAGATGATATTATTTATTTCTTTTGTCTAAGCGATTAGCACTGTCTAAGACCAAGAATTCTTCAAAAATTGTACTGTATATTGAATAGTACATGTTGCAAATACTTTTCCTTTTTGCATTAGAGCGATATTGATTCTACAGTTTTTGCTAAACAGTAATTGTGAAGTACTACTGAAACTGCCTATAAATTTTTTGCTTTGTGAATCTGTTTTGGAAATTTTCACCACAGCAGTCCTACAAAGGCTCTACATACAAGTTAAACAAGAGTCAATTTATCAGTAGAATCACATGTTTTGAATTACAGAGAACTCCCATTCTAGGATGAGAACACTGATTCTCATTCAGAATTACTCAGTACTGAATAAGGCAATTTATGAATGGCTACTGGGGAAAAAAAACCCTCTGTACTTGTAGAGGAAAAATACCCCAGGAAATTGAAAAAGTGAAATGGTGCTTGTTCAATCTCAGTCCACACAAATATTAAAATGAAAAAGCAGTTATGCATTATTGTTCAGTAATTTAATCTCAATCTGGATACTTATATTCCTGATGTACTATGTCTTCAATTTTGTGAACCATGCAGGAACATTAATCCTATAAAGAAGTTCTCTGATTATTTTCATAAAAGCAGAATATTAATGTTTATTTTGTCAGAACCTGTTCCTTAGTAGCTGAAGAACAATGTTGATACATAGTAGTAGTTTCCACTCAGTTGATGTTATAATGTTTCAATATACCTGACTTGATCAGGCCTGCTTACAATACTTTTATCACAATAGCTGGAAGCATCCCAAAAATTAAATCAAATCAAAACAGCTTAGGATTTAGTTGGGAGATCACTGGGAAATTTCAGGGCTGCAGGCTAGACTGAAAAAATCCCCAACTAGAAAGAATAGTACCACTTGGGTACTGTTGTCAAGTTGTCAAGTAAACATAGATATGTTCATTTTCTCACCAGGAATGAAGCTTGATTTGAGATACTCTTTATTCTAAATGACATAAAGTAACAACTACTAATTCATAAAGAACAGCCATGTAAGTATGTAGAGCCTAAGTCTACTTTCTGCTGAAATGGACAAAGCATAAAAAATGTACTATAAGATTTAAAACAGACAAATCACATGAAAAAACACAAAAACTCCAAACCCCTCTCCTGAAATCCTGCTTTGTCCATATGTGATGTAGCTCCATCCATTTCAGTTTCAGTTATATCAGGACTGGAAATTTTTTCATTTACTTTAGAATCCCAAATAATATTTTCTGAGAGGACAAGAGCTGTATTAAGACCGGGTGAGGATGGAAAGATATCCGGATTGTCAGTATTTACATTCATGATAAAGATGAGGAACTTTCCTCTCCCCCTCCGCCCTCCAGGTTGAACAGAAGGATTTGGAAATTAGGAGGGTTGAGCTGTTTATTTTAGCCCATTTTTGTACATTTCCAATTCAAAATGGAAGAAACAGACATAACTGGTTTTCAAAGGATCATCAGGTGCTTTAATACTGAAATAAGCAAGTTCCTCAGAGTTAATATACATCCATGAAGCTTCAGATCTAAGTCCCAAAGGTACTTTTTTTCAAATGGCAACTGGACATTCTTGATTTTTCTTGAAGAGGTTTCACTTCTCAGAAGCTTAGAAAGTCCAGTTGCCATTTGGAACAAGCACTTTTGGCACAACCATGACATGGATGTCTGAGAATCTTCATAGAGATTCATATCTAAGTGTAGAGGGAATACTGATTGCATGGCATATTGATAAATTACTCTAGAAACTATGAGTAAGCAGCACAAAAAGTTAAAGAAATAGAAGCAATTCAAAATTATGGTCACACTAACCTTGTTCATTGCTTAAGTCCTCTGTATGCCATCAAACATCATGCTCAGTTATATTTTAGTAACTGATAAACACAGTTACAACCAACATTATGTTATCATATCTACGCTCACACAATGCATCTAGCATTAAATATCACTGTCTCATGTGTCCCTAAGCATGGAGACAACATGGAAGAATATGTATATAAACAGTATTTGGTACAAATAAGATACAGAATCTAGGCAAATAAATATATTTTGGAAATGATTATATTTTTCCTTTTGCTTAATACAATTACAATCAATTAAAAAGAACTGGAAAAACTGATAAGCAATACACCAATAATAAAGAGAAACTTAAGCTTGCACATACTAAGATAACTAGAGAATAATACTTAAGCTAGCTTACAGAGAAGAGCTCAGACTGAAAAGCATCAGAAATTTTATCATTACTTTGTTTCTATAAAGGAAGTCTAAAGGGCAAATATCTAGAATCCTGATAATTATGAACATTATTCAAGTGTTATTTAAAGCGAAGTATTCACACTTTGTTAAATTCTACTTAGTTCTATACATGGACATTACTTGAATGACACTGTCTTCCATGCAACATTTGCATACTCAAAATGTCTGCCAGAAGAGCCATGGCCCGTTAGCTTTCACTAGCTATTACAGCTACTCTCCTGCAAATATTCACACTGATTGTACAAAC